TCAAACTAGTAGAAATTTTTGGGAAAGAATGTATAGCAAACATTTAAGGGACTATTCCTTGGACTGTTCTAAGGTTATTTTGTCCTTTCATGATTTTAAAAAGGGCGCTTTGTTTCGAAGATACGAAAATGACAATTCATTACCAAAAATTACATGTAATGTTTCTTAATCTACAAGAACTGTTTAAAATGACCACCTCCGCTCGGATGCAAGAATCCACTTTTCTCCTCGTCGATTCCCGAACTCTTTCAAAAACACCAGAATCGTTTCTGATCGCGTTACACCCAGCAAATTGAATGTCTGCAGCCGTTTGTAGTAATCGGAATGTTGTTGTTAGGTACCAACCGTGTTTTTTAGCACTTGGTTGGTTCAGTGTAGTATGTTATAGTAACTTTTATTTCGGCTACTTTAATAATTTTAAAACTACCAAAATTGTTATGTCGAAATTCTTTTTAGCCCCGTATCTTCGAAACAAAGTGCCCTATCAACAATTATCAAAGGAACCCCCTGCATTAACAATCTTCATATGAAAGAATATGTTTTAAAAGTAATTTTTTTTGTGTAATTCAATGTTTATGTGAAAAGAAAATGTGTCCAATAACCAAATCCCCCCCTATCACTAATAACCTCTATAAATACACATATCCATCCTGCCGAACGACATCAAAACGAAACTATCGACTAAGTACAGATAATCATATCGAACACATTGCGTCTGTACATCATTATGAACGGTATTTTCTCCGCAGTAAGTACAAGTGAGAGGAACACGATAACGGTAAAAAGGAATGTGGGTGGTTGATGTAGCCCATACGGGTCTATCTACGAGTTGTGACCGGTCAGATGCTTACATATCCATTTACAGGAAACCCACATTGGTGGCATATCGCGTTTCTTGGATCTTCTAATGACTGACAGCGATTGTTGTGATGTATTCTGTTGTAATGGACGGTACCGAATTGAAAAAAATTCCGAGTCACAACATTATTATCCATTTTTGTTAGAAGATAAGGACAATCACTGCAGGAAAAATAAGAACATGTTTCGGTACAAAAACTACTCAACCAATTCCAACAATTCTTTCACATACATTATGAACGAGTAGCATGGGTTGCATTTCATTTTCAAAAAATGTAAATCAAAGTTTCAAAAATTTGCCTGTGAAAGTCATCATTTGGCTTGAGCTGCCAAAACTTTTGAGGTACTAGACGTTTGTAGTACTCATCAGTACCTAGAAAAAATCTACAGGGTTATTAAGTCATAATAACCGATCTTTGTTCAAAGTTTAGTTAGCACGCGTGACTAGTTTTTTCAGAGGATGTTGAATGCAGTCAGCGAACTGTTGTGTCCTTGGTCAAAGGTTATATTTATATTCTGAACGAGATCGTGTGAGTTGTAACAGCAGTAGTGGGATTTGGGTGGAGCACTATAATGATATCTTCGTTCTCGCGAGGATTGGGTTCCATATTAGTTGAACTACCTAAGGGTTTTCTTCTGTCTTAGTGAAATTATCCGTGTGTTTGTGGAATTCATTCGCCTCCTTCAGCTGGCGCTTGTAACTCAACTGCCCCAAAGAGGATTGGGTGATCTTCCTCATTAAGCAAATCTTCCGCTTCTACAGACTTATCTGTTTGCCCCAGTTGGCAATTTCTTTGATGCTCCTTTGTCATGATACCAATATACTTCTTTGTGGTTCCTATGTATATTTTACCACACGAACATGGAATGCGATATACCCAAGTACGTAATAACGGAACATGCGCTTAGTGAGGGAGATCAGCAAATTCTCTTTGTAGGAGTTGAGAACCCAATCTTCGACATAACGAAGATAGCATCACAGCGCCCTGTCCAGATCCCCCTACCACCATCATAACTTCCTGCGTCGTCGACTCGGCTTCCCCAATCATCTCTTCAGAAAACACATATAAACTCCGGGCAAGGACGCAACAGTCCATTCGGCTGGAACGGCGGGTTTGGCGTATCCTCAGGTCAAATGATGACGACGTGATCCGTCCAGCTTCGAAAGAAGAACTGAAGTGACACACAAAGGCCTTCAAGACTAAGAAGGCTCCAACAGCTGATTCAATCAACAACAGGTTATTGACGCAGTTCCCTGAGAACTTTATCCGATATCTGTTGCATATTATCAACAGCTCAATTGCCCTCAGATACTTCCCCGCAGATGAAAGCACGCTGCGAATGTCATGATCTCGAAACAGGGCCAGAACCCGCTGTTTCCCCGGAATCACCGTTAGTCTGCTTTGCTCAACGGCTAAGCTCGCTGAACGTGTTGTGCTGCAAAGGTTTACAGAGAAGTCGAAGGCCTTCGACGGTGTCTGGCACGAAGGCATTTTACACAAAATGCTCGTTTTAGACCTGCCTCGGGGCCTGGTCCGGTGGATTATGTCCTTTCTGAAAGGCAGAACATTTCAAGTCAGAATCGAAGGAGACCTGTCCCACATCAAGAAAATCCAAACTGGATTGTCTCTGGGAGCAGTGCTATCTCCACTACTAGACAGCATCTACGTGAGCGACCTTTCCAGGTTTGAACACGTAAAAGTTTCCCTATACGCTGATGATACGGCTCTCCTCGCCTCTTCTATGGGTGGTGAGTTGGAGTCGTTTACATGCAACGTGCATAGGACGACCTCAAACGCTGGTCCCTCACTGGAATATCCGAGTGAATTCAGACAAAACTCGGGTGATATATTTGGGGAGACTTAACGTTTCTTCGAACACGAGGGTAACGAGGCAGGGAGATCGAATGGAAGTCTCGAGTCAAGTACTTGAGTCTTATGATAGACGATGGTCTCACCTGGCCACACCACATTAAGCCCATTAAGAGCAGAATCCAAATGATGATAGCTAAGCTCTATCCTCTGATCAACAGAAAGTCAAAGCTGTCAACAGGCATTCGAAGCTCAACCTTAGAAATAAGGTTTTACTATATAAGACGATGTTCAAGCCTGTCAACATGTATGCTTCAGGCGCTTGGAGACAAACTAACCCGACTAAACTTTCCATTCTGGTAAGATTTCCATTCTGGAAAGATTACAAAATTAGATCTTATGGATTCTGGAATGATTCATGGTTCGTGCGAAATAAAGCCATCTACAGACATTTAAAGCAATCCATCCAGTCGAGGAGTCAGAGAATTTTCGAGTCATCGGAAAATCATGATAGCCCATAAGTTAGGAACGCTGTAGATTATGCTACAGACGACCCATCCCGATTCAGAAGGCCCCACAGTTTGTTCACCAAACATCCCAGTCAGAAGGGTGTACAGGGCCAGGACGGCATAGAGGTCATGTATCTCTATTTCGCAACCAATCACCTAGTTAAGACACATTTGTCCTACTGACGAATACACGTTGAAAGGGTAAGGGAGCCAGATTCCAATCTGGTTTATATGAAGATTATTGACGATCGACGCAACAGTCCGCTTCCGAGATGAAAGTTCCCCTGAGAAAACTAGCGCATCGTTAGGAAGAAATTGCACATTGTAAAGCCCTCAAAGACGACAAAATTTCCATAAAACACGGGTAGAATCGAAAAATGGCATTCGTATCATGACAATCATTACTCAACTAAATAGTTTCTTTATCAAGGTTAATTATTTTCAAACAAATTTATGCTAAAATTGGAAACGAGTTCGCGTTTAGTCTATTACTTACTTTCTCAAAATTTTCCACTATTAGAAAGCTACATTATACTGAAGTAGCATATTCTACTTTTCATGCAAACATTCTCCACATGATCAAGATCTACGCAGGTATATTCAAATCTATTTCGAAAAAAATCTTTTATTCCGCTAACCATCTGTCACCACTAACCAACGACAACCCTCAGAAGTCGGACCGTGTCCAAGCAAAGGATTAACAAGGTCTTACCTTTCAACGTGCGATTTCTAGCACGGGTTGGACTATACGCAGTGCAAATTGATCGTCCAGCCGTCGGGCTGGAAACGTGAGTCGAGAAACAGTATTTTAGTTCTGGTGTGGGAAAGGTATATTTGATAGACGGTTTTCGTTAGTTCAATTCAAGTAACCCAGAAGAGTGCAATATGTCACATCGGTGCATTCACCAAACATTTGAAATTATAAATGTCTGCAATAGTGACTAGATATCGCAACCGGGTAATTTTTTTTACCTAAAAATTTACCTAAAAATGTACCTAAAAATTGCAAATGATCTAAACATGATGTTAATATGTTTAGGAGCAATATGACTACTTTATGCATCGTTAAGATGTTACTACAGAGGCGTTACTATAAAGGCGTTACTATAGATACATTCATAATTATCAAGATTCAGTTCAAATCTACTCCATTGTGATTTGCAGACAATTCTGTTCGCGTCTGAAAAGTAGAAACTACAAAGAATCAATTTGAAAACGCCGCACCCTGAATATCTTTCAACCAGGAAGTCATGAAAAACAGGAAAACTTTGTTTTCAAAGAGAAGGGGCGGTTTCAAGAAACAATTTTAACTTTCGCAACATGAGTGAAAGTTTGTTACCCTTAAAAACTCGACTTTTATTTCTCTTTTGAATCGTACCCTAACGTGTAATTTGTTTACCAGCAGTTTCCAAAAAGAAATATAGATGAAATCTAATAATATATACTGTTTTCATTAGACAAAAAAAAAATTTTTAAACCTAAAATGTTGCTTAAAATCTTGTCTGGATTTCAGTGACAAATGTGCAATGATGGATAAGCAATAGGAAATCATTTTCAATAAGGTATCCCATTTGAAAATATTTTGGTTAATAAATTCTCGATCAGAGTGATTAAAGTTTTCAATGGTTTTAGGTGAAAATGTGTCCTCGTTATTATCCTAAGTTATCCTCAAGATAAGTTATCGGGAGCCCACACACAACTGGGATGAGAGATGCCAGACATCCTGATTTAATTACATGTATATCATAACGGAATATGAAAAATTTAATCAAACTTGTATTTCAGACAGCATCAATCATTCTCATAACAGTAAAATACTCACCGTTCTTTTCGTTGTCAGAATCGAAGTCCTGGAAAGGAGACGACTCTCGAACACAGGACATCAAACTCAGGGGACCCGCCCCCGAATGTGTTCCGACGGCGGCGGAAGACATCTGCAAATGAAAAAAATGTCATTGAGAGGAGAATACGTGTTGTGAAAGAAGACTCTTGTTCCGCTATATGTTTGTTCTCAAGATGTATAGACCGGTAATAGTATATTATGCAACGATCATGTAATGATGGTTATTAAGAGCATTAACCGGGATACGAAACGAGCCGAAGGCGACTTTTGTATGGTATATGCGAGTGTATTAATAACCATTACATGAGAGTTGCATACGCTATTTTTTCTAAACCCGATAAATAATGAAAAACTATAAATATTATATTTGTATTGAACACATTTACAGTAATATCGTTATGAAAAATCTGTATCATAATGGATATCATTATGAAACGGATTATGGTCATATAAGTTTATTGTTAGAGTACGGGTGTAGAAAAAAAAAATTTTATCGACAATCTGGTATAGTCTGGTTCGCGAATGCCGTTTCATTGACAACTTGGTATTATCTGGTTTGCAAGTGTATTCAGGCTAGTCTTTTCCGTTAACAATGTTAGCAGATAGACGAGCATAAAACCCCACCATTTTCAATTCGTATTTTTAGAGCAATCTCTCGTACAAGTACAGTGAAATTATTTCAATAACTCATCCAATATTTCAGTATTTTCAGAAAAAAATCCTTAAAAAATGATATATGACTCTCAATGGTTTTCTATATATTTCAACATTGAAAACAAACAGGTCAAAAATGCATTTGTTCACAACAAATTGTTCATTATATAAACAAATAAAAAAATATTTTTACGAAATCTACTATTTTTATAAATGAATAAATTATTCAAAATGCATCTATTCTTCGATTTTGAAGAACTTTATTTTGAATTGAAGAGCTCAAAAACTGTACTTTGGTACCAAATATAATTTTCTTTCTTCAAAAACCAAGGCCTGCTGCGAATATTTTTGTAGGTCAAAATACAAGAAATCGTGTTATCGTATTTTTCTCGGATAAATTTAAAATCACCATTGGACTGGGAACTCTCTCAAATGGTGGTATATCCAATTTCTTCAAAAATTTTCAATACTGATAATTCTGTGGTAGAATCAAAGAAATTTTTATTATGAATTAATCCAAGTACCTGATGGACTGAAAAGTGAAATCGAGTAATCGTTGATAACTATGTGGCAATTTAAATGAACGAATTTACATAGTCATTCTGATCAATTAATCATTGGACAAATAAAACAATTACAATTGAAAAGCAATAGCCAACAAATTATTGTAGACAGAAACAGAAATGAACGTTCATCAAATTTTTATTGTTTCAACCAATCCGCCATTCTTCACAATGCACTTGTCATACCTTCTTCTAATATTCAATATACTTTTTCTCAGTTGTTCTGTTGTAATTTCCGCACAAGATGCAAATATTCTGATGCATAGTTTCTCTACTGACTGCGGTCTAGACTTGTGAACTTTTTGCTTCTCAGTACCCCAAAGAAAAAAATCTAGCGGTGTCAGGTCCGGTGATCTTGGCGGCTACTCGATGTAAGGACTATTTCGGCCTATCCATCGATTTCCATAATTATTATTCAGCCATCTTCTTACAATAACTACATTATGTAATGGAAACTACAAATTCAGGCGTTCCTGGTAAGTTACGTATTGCGTCCCAAAACTCATTTCTCAGAAAGTCCAAAAATATAATTCCATACAGATTACTTTCGAAGAAAAACGGACCGATAATCTTATCTTGGATTATTCCACACCCCACATTTATTTTATGGGAATATTGCCTTTTTGCGTTTATAAGCCGAATAGAATTATCTGCAGACCAGTTCCTTGAATTTTGGGACGAGACTACTCCGTTTATAGTGAACTTAGCTTCATCATTGAACATAACTGTTTCTGAAGAAGTTATACAATCATTCAAATATTCTCCTTGAGCCCATGAACCGAATTCTAACCTTCTTTCTTCATCTCCAGGTTCCAGAGTGTGTAAAATTTTTGGCATTAATAGTTTCATTTTATTTTTTACAAGGCATCTCCAGATATTTTCTCTAAGGATAATTAAATTCAAACTAGCCATTCGCAAGCTTGCATGAGGATTATTACGAAAATATTGCAATATTCGCACACCATTTCTTTTCTTATGATGTGGATTATTTCTGTGTTTGAGAATATGACTCGATACACAACCTATTTCGTTAAAAACAAAATGTACACGGTTCACCGTACTACTGCTCACTGGAAGTTTATCAGGATGTCTGTTATGAAATTCTCTGGCAGTTTCTCTTGCCGAAAGAGCATTATCTCCGACAAGGCGCACAAGTTCAATTTTATCTCGCACACTTAGTTCCCGCATGATAAATCACCAATTCCTACAACTTTACAAAATATTTTTCTTACTAATCGGGCATAATCTGATATTACTGTTTCAATACAGTTTTTGACAGCAGCAATAATAATCAATACTAGTTTTTTATTTCCAATGCTAAATGAAAAGAACGCGATTTTGCATAGTCGCACGGTGTTTCACGGCCAACTCACCAGGTTTTAAAAACCATTTGAAAGTTTGAGAGTGCAGTTAACATTCATGATACAATTTGAATGTTGATTCGACCACATAATTGGTAATATTGGATGTGTTAAATTCAAAATGAACTTCTTCGAAACCGGAGAAAAGATGCAAATTTTAGGGAGATGTCCCGCTTTCCCGTCTCTGTACAATCAGTCAAAATATTTTTTCGTTCAACAGTGTCATTCGGTCAATGCGCCTCTATCCATTTTAAGCTGACTCTCACCTCGAAATAAACATTATGAATATAGTCGTTACAGTTCAGATTACAGATATCCCAAAACGTGTCTGAGGATGTTTATACCTTCAATGATTTTTGCTAGACCTTCTCAAAAAAATTCCATAAGTTTTAAAATACCTTTCCGAATCCAATGACACCTTTCGTAATTTTCTGTCTTGTAGGTTATGTTTTCGATAGAATGGCACCAGACTAATATTACTTCAAAAGTAAGTAACTTTGAATGATATATAGAATAGTCGTAGACTTAGGTTTCATTCTGGGCACGTAAAGATATTCAAATTTTCTTCACGTAGCATGACTGGGATGCTACATTTACATAGTGAACTGCAGATTTGATTTGTCTTACTCGTGACGTCATTTGGTGGATGTAATCGGATGCAAGTCGACGATTTACAATAAACCTCGGTAGACAGCTTCGCTACCGAAACGCGTCTATAAATAAAAAATATTTATGAAAATTGTTCAATTATTATCAAGGTTTTCAAATTTGAATATTTTGAAGATGATACTGTATTGCAAATGAAATTCGAATTCTGAAAAAACACACATCAGATAAAAATAATAGCATGTCGACTGAATTACAACAAAGTTGTATTTTGATACACAATGCACAATGAAGTCCGCATCATATGAGATTTGTTATTAGCTTCATAAAAAATTTGTCATTGACATCTATTTCTGCTTTGAATTTTTTGAATTTTCTCCTGAACCAGTGCTCCTCCTTGTGGATGATTTCAGCTTGAGCCCACTTGATGTTATGTTGATGAGTCCAAACATGCTCTGCTATTCCAGATTTGGTGGTTTCTCTTCGCTGTGTGTGTTTCTTGTGCTCAGCAATGCGAACTTTCAATGGCCTCTTAATTTCACCGATGTATGATTCTCCGCACAGGGTATCCGGTAAATACAATTCTTGGAATCGCAGTCCGCGTTTGGTGACCTGGTTTTCGTGAGAATGTTACGGATAGTGTTCCCAGATCTGAAGCAGGTCCTGATGTTATACNTGTACGTCGTTTAGGAAGTTGCGTTAATGGCCATGTTACGATTGCGCACGGCTGGTGTAATCCTCGAAGTAGGAATGGAAATTGAACCCAGGTTTGTGTTTAATAAACCCTACAAAATATAAATAAAACAGAACACAGAGTCAGATACGAATGCAATACACATATATACAGACGGCTCAAAACCCAAAGAAGGCTCAGGATGTACAGTGTACTCCAGATCACTGAGCTTAAGGATTAAGTGGGAATGGGAAAAATACCAGCGTGGTCCAAACAGAACTGACTGGTATCTCAATCGCTACAAAAGAAATAACCAGGAAAGGAATTTCTGGCAAAAATATTACAATTTGCACCGACAGCAGACAAGCCCTATTAGCCTTGAAAAGACAACGTGTTATCTCTGGGCTAGTACTAGTGTGCCACCAAGATTAAGCCAAAGCCTCGGTAGATAATAACATTATCCTGAGGTGTGTTAAAGGGCACGACAGGAGTAAAGGTAATCGCATTGCCGACTACTTAGCCAAGGAAGCGGCTGGACTAAGAATTTTAGGACCCAGTGGCACCTACGGCCTGATGACTTCGACAATTGCGGAACTAGCTAAATGTTACACCCATGCTCAATCCCTAAAGCGATGGAATGGAATCAAAGGATGCAATCTTGCCAGTATCACCCTGGGCGTCCCTGGGAAGCTGGCGTCGAAGAAATATCTGGCGATGAGCTGGAAAAATCTACGCTTAACAGTAGGATTTCTGACTGGACACTGTCAACTAAGGTGTGTCCCCTAGCCCCATGGTATGGGGCTAGGAGACACATCTTTATGCAGTATGTGTGAACAGGAAGATGAGACTGTCAGGCATGTCCTATGCGAGTGCCCGGAGTTATCATCCATAAGAGAGTGTGTGTTCGGCGAGTCTTGACCTATACCTGCCGATATAAAGGAGATGTCTCCCAGTGACCTGTCCACCTTCCTGGAAAGGACAGGATGGACGATGACCTAGGAGGACAACTCCTCGAGAGGATATACAATGGGTCACATGTGGCCTAAGTGCTACTCTACAGGTACAGATAATAATAGTTATTTTATACTTCCTGGCATAAACTAGATAAGAACGAAACAAATCAAACATTGTCAATGCGAATTAGTTGGATGCTATTTTTTTGGATATTTCGAATAAGGCTATTAATGAAAAAATTCCATGTGACTCGAACTTAATGAGTCATACTGTATGTTTT